ACAGACAAAAGTACGAGGATATAAAGAGAATGGGAAGCGTGTAAAAACATCATACAAGACGCGGCCAAAGAGACCCTGAGTCTACAAAAAAAAAACTCAAATTAACTGAATGAAAGTGGTTCGATGAAGAGTGTCGTAAGATAACAGAGAGGAAAAATAATGCATATCAACGACTACAACAACGACATAGAACACGAAAGGCAGAGGAGGAATATAGAATGCTAAGGAGGGAAGAAAAGAAAATACATCGCAGAAAGAAAAACACAGAAAAAGAACTCCAAGAAATGGAAGAACTAAATAAACCACTAGAAACCAGAAAATTCTATTAAAAACTTAATAAAAGTAGAAAAGAATTTAAACCAAGAACAATTATGTGCAGAGACAAAGAAGGATATATAGTGACTCAACAGAGTGAAATACTACAAAGATGGACAGAATTCTTCAAAGAAAAGTTTGAAAAAAAAACGAAGATCCACTATATGATGGAATTATACTGGATCAAATGGATACCAGAGAAACAACCCCCTCTTCAGTAGCTAAAATGCAAGAAGCAGTTACCAGACTGAAAAACAACAAGTCACCTGGATTAGATAACATTAGCGCAGAATTAATAAAGGAAGGTGGAGACTCCCTATTGAATGCGATACACGAACTAATAGTGAACATATGGAATAATAAACAACTGCACAAGACTGGAATGCCGGAGTATTGGAAACATGGACTCTTCAAAAAATCGATAGGAATAAGATAAGCCTTGAAAATGTGGGTTTATAGAAGAATTCTACGCGCCTCCTGGACAGAATATAGAGCCAACCTGTCAATTCTGGAAGAGCTTCATATAAAAGACAGGTTATTAAAAAAAGTAAACCGAGCATACCCAATTTACTTCGGTCACATAGCTAGAAGAACAGGGATCATGGAGCTATTCGTAGTAGAAGAAAAGGGAGAAGGCCGAAGACCAAGAGGAAGATCTCCAACACGATGAGCAGACCAAATGAAGCCTCTGGTGAAAAATTCCTACATGAAGCCGTCCATATGGCACAGGATCACAGCCAATAGAGGCAGCAAGCCAATAATATTTAGAGTGTCACAACGTCCTGACAAGGGCTCAAGGAACGAGGAGGAACAGTCAGAACTAGGTGGTAAAACACGAAAATACGTTATTTTTAGATATCTTTTAGTAAGTTACGACAAATTAAAATTAGTAAAAGTAGTGTAATAAGTAGTTAAGTTAAAATCTCCCAAAACCTTGCTTCCTTATTATCCTTAAGGCAGATTAATAAATTACCTATTATTCAAGAAAATCAATTTTTAATATTCTCTTTAAAAAATCCGTCTGCACCCTGAAATCAAATACTTCAAAAACTTGAGTATAAGATGAATCTTTTTCATTTACGTACAAAAACAAGAACAAAGAAAGCCAGATAACTTCTGTTCATTTTCCCATGTTTTTTTTTTGAATAATTGGCTTTTAGAATGTTTCGGCAGGCATAAATTTTCTCCCGTTTTTACAAACGAAAAATAAACTCAAATTGAGCTGACGTGTTTGAGGAGAATTCAATTTTCTAAGGATACGAAAAAGTTTTTAAACATTGAGAAAGGAATTATTTATGTAATATTCAGTTATATTTCATTATATAATGATGAAGAGAATTATTCGATATTATGTGAACTAAGTAACAAAAAGATGGCGCGAATTCTAAGGAATGTTCTTTACTACTCTGCAAATCTTCTTTTAACAGGTTTTCAGGACAGAGCGGATCTGTTGAGTGAGTCTTGTTTTATATGAACGTTCGTGCGATTTTATAATTATTGAGTTGAAAGCAAGGATAAACAACTTTGTCACTAATGTCTAGTGTACTCTTGTGTACGAGTATGAAGTCTAAGATCGACTAAGGAACGAATAAAGAGTATCGTTGTACACATTAGGAATAATTGACCGTATTATCATCATCATCTAGCTTTAATTTATCACGTCCACTGCTGGACATAGGCCTCCCTTAAACTCCTCCATTCTATGCGATTGTGTGCTCTTTGTTGCCAATTTCCCGTGATAAGCCCGATGTCATCAGCCCAACGTGTAGGTGGTCTTCCTCTACTACGTTTGTCTGCTCTTGGCCTCCAATGTGTAATTTTATTCGTCCATCGTGAGTCATACATTCTCGCTAAATGGACTGCCCAATTACATTTAAGTTCCGCTATGCGTTCCACAACATCAGCAATACTGGTCCTTCTTCGCAGATCTTCGTTTCTTATTCGGTCCCGCAACGTCACTTCTAGCATAGATCGTTCTATTCGTCTCCGTGCCACTCTCAATTTAGAAGCCGTAGTCTTGGTTAGAGTAAGAGTTTCCGCCCCATAGGTCATGACCGGTAATACGCATTGATCAAATATTTTTCTTTTGAGGCTAATTGGTATGTTTGCCCTAAGTGTGTCTCGCAGTTTTCCAAAGGCTGTTTACACTAAGGTAATTCCTCTTTGGATTTCACATGTTTGGTTATCCCTGCTGATTCTTATTTCGTGACCCAAATACGTATATTTCTCCACCAGTTCTACCACTTTGTTTTGAATAGTTAAATGGTTATTGGGGGCCATATTTGTCATAAACTTAGTTTTGGACAAGTTCAGTCTGTGGCCCACCTGTTGCTTCTCCTAAATCATCTGTGATAAGGACAATGCCATCTGCGAAACGGAGATGTTAAGTTTTTCTCCGTCTATTGTTACTCTTTTGTGGTCCCAATTGACCATCTTAAAGGCGTACTCTAATGCCGTTATAAATATTTTCCGTCACAATGTATCTCCTTGCCTTATCTCACGTTTTATTTTTATTGGTCGGGTTTTATCGTGTATGTTAACAGTCATAGTGGCATTTTTGTAAATATTGTAAATAAGTTCACTATACCTATGCCTATGATCAATCCTGCTGTCATCGCTTTATGAAAATCTATGAAAGTGAGGACAAAGGTTTGTTGTATTCTATAGATTTTTCAATGAGCGTTTTTACTGTATGGAGGTGATCATTGGTACCATGATTTGATCTGAATCCTACCTGCTCTCTCGGTTGGTAGAAATCTAATTTTCTCTCCAATCTTGATGTCACTAACCTAGTGAAGAGCTTGTATATATGGTTCAACAGGCTAATAGGTCTATGATTCTCTAGGTCCATTTTATCTCATTTTTTATGTAAAAGGATGGTTATAGCTTTGTTCCATTCTTTGGGCACCTCTCTTTGCTGCAAACGTAGATTAAACAGTTTCCTTAATTGATTTAATAGCATATCTCCTCCATCTACGATAGCTTCTATTACAATTCCATCCTCTCCTGGGGCTCTGTTATTTTTCAGTTCTCTTAACGCTTGTCGAATCTCATATACAATTTGGCAATATTTCTGAACCTTGATTCATGATCTTCTTTGAAATGGCTGTTTGTATTCCTGTTTGATCTTCTCGTTTACTTCCAAATAATTCTTCGTAGAACTCTTCGACGACCAGTATTAACTCGTCTCTACGTGATATTATTCCATTTTGCTTGTTTCTTAATTTATGAATTTCGCATTTCCCATTCGTTAGCTTTCTACATAGAACTTTTAAGCTGTTATTTTCCTACATAGTACGTTTAATATCATCATCATCATCAGCTTTTACAGGGCCTAGACCTTCTCAAGCTTTCTACGCCATTCTGTTCTGTCCCTTGCTTGCATTTTCCAGTTGCTGACTCCGATCTTCTCGGCATCTTGTGTTACCCCGTCCATCCACCTCAGCTTTGGTCTACTTTGTCTTCTCATTCCACGGGTTGCGCTGTTAGAATCTTTTTATCATGTTCGATTCAGGGGCTCGGGCTACATGTCCTACCCACTGCAGGCGGTTTCGCTTAATTATAGTGGTAATATCTTTACCACCAAAGGTAAGCTTGTAGATATTCTGCAGTTCAAAGTTATATCTATATTCCGTTCTCACAGATCGCTCCGAATATCTTGCGTAGCACCTTTCTTTCAAAAATCGGTAGAGCGGAGTCATCCGTTTTAGTTAGCGTCTATACCTCTGATCCATATGTGAGAACGTGTTCTATACAGCCTTATACGAGTTTTTTGAGTTTAATATTATCGGTTTTAAATTTTCTTAAATTTCTCCTGATTGCCTTCGAAAAAGTTTTATTCATTCCTCTTAGAGAGTGGCTGTCTGCATTCTCATCACTTCTCATTTGTCTTCTTTGATCTAGCAGCGTTTCAGTATATGGACTTATTTTGCTATCTGATTTTCTTTTAGGACAGTGCATCGGTGACTTCCTTGTAAGGCGTTTATGATGCAATTATTCAAGTCCTTAAAATAGTTCTCGGAGGTTACATGCGGTAGAGGCTTATTATTAATATGTGTCTGATATTGGTTGATATCTAATGGGGTGTCCAGATACCATGAGATTTATTTTTAATCATTGACCGTATATATTGTAGGAATTGTCCTATAGTTGGAAATTTAAAAACGTGGGTAACTCCTTATTTCGCTGACGATAAGAAGAACTGCTCTTCTTTTTCTTCAATGTTCTGTGCAAAAATTGTGGTAGTAGACTTGCCAAAATTCCGTTTGAGTATAGGGCAAATGTCTAATCTCTACTAAAACCAGCAATTTTTGTACAGTTTCTCGACAAGGAGTATAAGTTTTGTACAGTTTCCCGACCCAAAGATGTTTATAAAATAATAAAAAACAAAAACTGCTAAAGACAGTCTATATTATCAACAAACGTTCTCTTCTTTTCTTTGACCTTTCAAAACACAACAACCAACCACTAATGCTAAACAAACCCACTGCCAAACACAAAAACAAAAGTCCAACATACAGGTCAAATAATATGGACAATTCCTCGGCAGAAGCCCCGTTTAGCAATTAGCCTAATTCAAGCAAACAACTGATCATTGTTGCATCGTCATTGGTAACGTCTACCGTAGCAGTAGATTACATATAACTTATTATTTATTTAAATATATTATTAAAAAATATACTCACCGCATTTGATGTATTAATGTCCCTAACTGTGCCAGAATCTAAATATTCAATAATTTTGTCTAGTTGTCCAGCTCTAACTGCCCTCAAAAAGGCGGTGTTTGGATCGGTCTGAAATAAAAAATAAACTCAATATTATTCATATTCATTTTGCAAATAATATACAAATACATAAATATTTGAGTAGCTTTGAAAAGATATGTTTTCAGTAAATTAAAATAAGAAAATAATGTGGTACTTTGGGTTTGGTTGTTGGAAATGGTGAAAAATAAAAATTGTAACTCGAACTATGTGTATTTTAAATTGTTTATGTTTACGCACGTTCGATATAGATAGATTACTAAGTGTTGCGAAAGTACGCAACATACCTTCTTTTCCTTATCAAAGTGTTATTGGCACGCTGCTGAATAATGTCCGTCATCCAAAAATATTTAAAAAAAAATGACATTGTCATCTTGACGTTTTGTATTCGGCGTCAATTTATATATAGAAATTCGTACCCCTTATATAGAAGTTCAAATCGTTATCGTATATTCAAAGTAATCAAGTTATATATTAGTAGTATAGTTCAAATCAAAGAAGTATAATCGTTGGTAGAAATCTAACATTCGTTGAAGTGTACAAAGACTATAATTTTGTGCAGTAGAATCGGCATCTTGGGATGTAAAAATGGTGTTCATTGTCGTTTTGGAATATAGCAATTATTGTAATACTAAATAAGCTGAGTATCAGTATATAGTGTGTCCTCTTTGTGGGAGCGTTTCTTTATATGTAACAAGTGGATTACCTGATTAACATAAGAACTAGCAAAACATCATCGTCTCCACGTCTAGGCCTTTGTCAAGCAAGGCAGGATACATCGAGGTTCTATTCCAGGGCCACATAGGTAATAATCGGAACACATACATCGGAACTGTAAGTGCATTTTCTCTCTTTCTTTGACATTTTTGTTTACGAGCTCTATTTCGGACACGTTAAACTCAGCAGTTAGCGCATTTATTACTATTATTACTATTACATTACTATTTTATTTTTAGATGTTTTCACTGACACGTTCTTTAGATCGTACTCAATATTGTCTTGGTTTGAGTTCACCATATTAGTAGGAATTGTTTAGTATTGAATTTTCATTCAGTTTGGGAGTGGCTAATCGGCCACCCTACGGACGCACTTGGCGTTACGTATAGATTTTGAGTTGATCTGAATATAACGTTTAAGTTGTTTATTTAATCTTAATTGTTTGTTTTAAATTACTTGTTTTAGAATAGCTAAATTTATTTCTTCTGCATAGCTCATGTAGTGTTTGTTTATTCACTGTAATATAGTTAATTAATTTGATTTTATAATTGAATTTAATTCCCCACCTTTTTCACTTCCACCAAATATAGTTTGAACAGCACATCGTGAGATACAGCTGCTTTCTTCATCTGAAGGTTATCGGATGATTCACATTAGTTTTCCGCAATTTGATAATCATTGCGGACCCTAAAGTTTATGTTGACAGTGGACAAACGTTCCCCCACACTAAGTGAATTCGAAAGAACGTACAAACTACAACAGAATATCTTTAAAGAAACATGTGAACAGATTAACGATAAATGATGGAAATAAAAGAAAATAGCAAAAAAAATATTCTAAAAAATCCACAAATTAGAAATTGGAATTGACACATCTCAAACCCATTATAAAACAAAACTTAAATAATCAACAAGAAATTAAGATAATAGTCCAAATAAGCACCGAATAAAGATGATGATAAACATCGTTTATCGTTTATCGACGTGGACCAGCCCAAATGGAGGATACAAGCACCAAATCGACTGCAAATTGATTAGAAACAGATGGAAGACATGTTTTACAAACCTAAAAACTAGACCAAGATCTGAATGTGGCTTATGGGCTTGTTTCAAGATGAAGCTAAAAAGAACAATGTCGCACCAAAATCAAAACAGGTTGGAGATTTCAAATCCGAAAACATTTAGAGATGCGTTAAAGGAAACTAGCATATTGAACACACAAGACAACCCAGAAGAAATGTGAAAAGGTTTCAGGAATGCCATAGAAACCTCTGTAGCAAGAACTAGAACCGAAAAAAAGATCATCAAAAGAAAACACTGTATGACAGGCAGAACGCGGCAACTTCTCGAAGAGCGAAGGAGAATCAAATCTCGTATATATCAAAACGACAGCATCAAAAACTAATTAGCAAGGTTAAATAGAGAAATTAAAAGAGCATGTAGGGATGATAAAAATAAATATATAAATGAAGAATGCGAAAAACTAGAAAGACGTGCAAAACGGTATGAATTCCATGAGCTATATAACAAAGTCCGATATATATCCAGGGAATTTAAACCAATCAAGCAAACAATAACAGATCAAAACCAACAAATCATAAATGACGAGAAAGGGATTGCGGAGGTATGGAGAAAATATTGTGAAAATCTAAATGCAGATGATCCTCAGAATGCAAATCACGACGAGTTCACCGCAGAGAGAGCACCAAACATTCTAAAGTCAGAGGTAGAAAAAGCAATTAAAAATTAAAAAAAAAAAAAAGAAAATCTCCTGGCGCAGACCAGATCACAGCAGAAGCTTTAAATGAGACTGGAGATGTTGAAGTAAATGTTATGCATATGATCTGCAAAAATATTTGGGAAACCGGAGAGTGGCCCAACGACTGGACAACATTCACTTTCATCCCTATATTCAAAATAGTAACTCCGCTAGATTGCAACTACAGAAGAACGGTAACCCTAATATCTTATGCAAGCAAGGTTCTACTTCATGTAATACATAAAAGACTGAAAGCTGTTCCATTGCCTCAGATATCAGAAGAACAAGCGGGATTTGTCCTAGGAAAAGGCACAAGAGAACACCTCCTTAATGTCAGACGGCTAATCAAAAAAACTCGGGAATTCAATACTCCTATGCTTATGTGCTTTGTGGATTACACAAAGTTCTTCGATAAAGTCGAATGGCAGCAGCTATGGTCCACACTAGTGGAAATGGGATCACCCCACCACTTAATTCAATTAATTAAAAGTCAATATGAAAATAATAAGTGCACAGTAAAAATAAACAACACCCATTCCGATCATTTCAGAACAGAGGCAGGTGTCCGGCAGGGATGCATAATCTCGCCAACTCTGTTTAATATCTACAGTGAACACATTATGCGAAAGGTAGTTGACGAATAGAAGGGTGGAATATCAGTAGGAGGTCAAAAAATCAGTAACTTGAGGTATGCTGATGACACTTTAATAATCGCTGCAAATCAAGAAAATATAGAAGACATAATGAGATGTCTGGAGGAGAAAATTAAACCATATGGACTAAAGTTAAATAGGAGTAAGACAAAGATCATGATAATAGACAGAGATCGGAATATTCTTCAACACATTAAAGAAAATGGGGGCTTTGAAGTAGGAAATAGTTTCATATACCTGGGGTCCCTAATAACAAATGACGAAGTGTGTGACAGAGAGATACGTAGAAGGTTGACTATTGCTAGAACAGCTATGATGAAACTGATAAAAATTTGGAAAATTCTAGCTTAACAATACAAACAAAACTAAGGCTGGTAAGGGCACTCATTTTTCCCACAGCCACAAATGCATCCGAAACGTGGACCTTAAAGAATGCGGAAAAAAATAAACTGGACGCTTTTGAAATGTGGCTTATACCGCCGCATGTTAAGAATATCCTGAATTGATAATCGCACTAACGTATCGATATTAGAACAACTTAAAGTAAAAGATAGATTGCTTAAACAAATAAAACAGAGATATTTGCAGTATTTTGGACACATTGTTAGAAGAACAGGTATGATGGAAAAACTGATAGTCGAGGGTAGAGTTGAAGGAAAGAGGGGAGAATCTAGGGGAAGATCTCCAAGCCGTTGGATAGATCAAACAAAAATATTGATTAACCAAAGGTTACATGAAGCCGAACAACTAGCCCAGGACAGGGAAGGATGGAGGAAAATTATGAAAAAACTGTAAAGGCCTGATGGTTTCACCACATCCCAAAAGGGATTAGGACTTAGGAGAAGGAAAGATAATGGACATGGACTATGCTATAATTGCGTGAATCACACTTTACATTTAAATTTATGTCTAAAAAAAGCGCACATTTGAATTTAAAAGTTGACGTGTTCCAGCATTTTTTATAATTTTCTAAAATACGGACACAAACAATTTTATGTGGTTTTAAGTGGTTTTTATTATTATATTATTCGCCCAGATAAGTGGAGATACTAAGATTGTGGATTGTGGTTTTTACATTTTATAATTTCAAAATTTCACTCTGTAGTATTCATAATAGACTTTACATGATACAGTTCGATGAAATTAGTTCGTTAACCATATTTTTAAAATATAAAAATATACAGGGTGTGTCATTAAAAATAAAGCTTAGAGACTAGGCTAGGCTTGCGTGAATCACCCTGTAATTTAAATTTATGTTTAAAAAGTGCGCATTTATATATAAAAGTGGACTGGTCTCAGTGTTTTTACAACTTTTTAAAACAAGGACAGAAACAACTTTATTCCATAGGTAAATTGCACACTATACCTATATGCAAGTTTGACCTTCATATATTCTTCTCTAAAATGTTCCAGTTTCGTTCAGCAACTTTTGTAACAAAACAAAAAAGCGAAAACGTCGCAAATAGTCCATAAATAATAAATTGACAATTTTGCCTGGAGCATCATTCACCGCAAGAAGCGGTAAAAATATAAAAACCCTTTGACTACTTCAACAAAAGACATTCCTGTGTTTTTAAAGGCAGAGAGCTTAGCTAAACACCGTTTCGTTCATGCCCTTGCATGCTAAATACTTACTAATTGAGGCTTTTTTTGAAAGTATACGTTTCGCTTAACTATTCCTCCAAAAGTAAATAAGACAAAAAGTGATGTCTTTTAATGTATATTTTGAAGATAATATTGAATGCATTCAAACACCCTTACCTTAGAAAGTAAGGAATATTGCTAGCGTGCAAATAAGCATTTGACATAAACATTGTTGATTATTTTTATCAACTTATTGCACAGGATGAAAATACGTCGAAAAGTAATTATTAAATTTATTGGAAGCCAAACTAGCTATTAAAAAATTAATTATTTGA